AACCAGAGTGTGTGCCGGTCAGTGTTGGGGGACTTGGAGCATTGGCGGGGCTAGGTGGAGGTAACGACAATGTCACCAGGATTGTCAATAAAAGATTTATGAGACAGACGGCTGGGGAGGAGATGGTCAGTATCATGGGAGGAGGTAAAGAACAAGCCAGCAACGTGGGAGCTGCAGGACCTGGGCTGGAGGTGCAAAAATTTTAAATGTTTTTGAGTGTTTTCTTTACATCATAATAGACAGATTTTCAAGCAGCTGACCTTAGCCAAAGACGCAAACTCTGCATGCATGTTTTTTTTTCTAAAAGACAGTACAAACTATGGTTTTTACTTTGATTTTAAAAGCCTGCTCTGCCAGCCTTAAGCCATGACAGAGATCTTTGCAAAAACAGTTATCATTTTGAAGAGTTAGCTTGCTTTCTCACAAAGTCTAAAAAGAAGAGGACAACACTGCAAAAATGGATGAGATAGAACATGGAGAGACATAAAGCAGTAAGGGCCACCCATCATGGATAAAAGTACAATGAATACTAACTTCAAACTCTTTTTGTCTGATATCAGTACTCAGTTAATGTGAAACATGAGGTTATAGTTGGTGTGAAGGACTGTTTGGATATTGCAACAAACTGTTTATGCATCCCCAATTCTTGCCTCACTGCAACCTCAATCCAAAAATTTAAATTTATTGTAAGTATCTCAAAATGTAAAATAATTAACTGAAAGCTGTGTAGATTGGTCTAACATCTAGTTTTCATGGAGATTCACTGTCAAACTGTAGTTAAATAGTATGCAGATTTGAAGATCATTCTTTGAGTTCAATTAATATTATAATTGTATATAATATTCTAAAATTAGCGTTTAGCAAGTTTGTAACATCATCTAGTGCAGTGTTGACTGTACAGGGGGGAATAGAAACTACTGCATTGATTGACATGGTTAGGAAATAAGCACTAAATTAAAATGGCCTACAAAGATGTTTATAAAAACCTAGATGTTCAATTTTTTAATATATTTCAATGATCAATACTCAAAGAGTTTTGTACCAAAAAAAACAACGGATTTATGTCTTAATTTGGGTCTTTGTAAACAGAGTCTGGTCTAGACCAGCTTTTTTTTGTTTAGGGTCTTGGAATAACACTTGTTGCGACTTGGGACTATATAAACAAGGATTGATTGATTGATTCATTCATTCATTCATTCATTAAGTTGGATTAAATATCCTGACTTCATTTCCCAGGATGCACCCTGCGACTGCGCCACCCAATCTTCCTGCTTTGCCCGCCCATCAAGAGCATCATCTCGCCATTCCCTCGGCCAGTGCAAGCACCGCCCTCAAGAGTCTCCAGCAGCAACCGAGGAGAAGGGGGACACCTGCAATGAATAACGACACTGCTACTGCCGGATGCAAAGACACACAAAAAACTCACAGCAATACTGAAATGTCACATACACCACTGCCATGAAAACACACCCCAACACATCACACATCAAATGAACTTACAAACACACCTAAAACCTGCCTCACAGGCACACTGCCAAACATAACACACTCTAGAGCACACTGCACATGCTGCCACACACACTGCCACATGCAAACATTCAGATCTACATACATACAGAGCATAGGCATTATTTTACTTGTCTCTAATGCCAAGAACAGGGAGGACTGAAAATCCAACCCAGCACCAGATTCAACCATCACAGACCTACCAGCAGGACTAAAAGATGCACAGTTTTGAAGTCCTCCATACTAAACTTAACAACTCTGCAAACTAAGAGTCTAACAAGTAAGACAATGATGTCAGGGTTGGACCTACAACCAAACCCTTAGACAGTGGCTACAAATGAGGATGACATCATGCTGTTGGACTGACCATGACCATAGTGGGTTTTCAGACTGTAGGAGCCACAGTATAAAAGTGGAGAGAAACAATCCGCCATTCCTCCTACATTGTGTGGGATACTCTGGAACCACCAACCTCAAAAGATAAATTGGTTATCCATCTTAACTTTGTAAAGCTCACTCATGGTGTGCTGGGAAATGCAATCATGCCTTTTTAGTGAATTAGCACAACACAGTTAAGGTAAACCTTTGAGTCCTCATTGTGACGAAACATCTGCCTCAGCTGCAAACCTAATTAGTTTTTCTTCATATTAAATTACAGGGCAAAGGAAAAGACTCAAGCTTGGGATCATGGATGGATGTTTTACTTTGTAAGTGAGACAACCAAACCATCAACTAGTGTTAAGTAGAAAACTGAAACAAGCTGAAGACTTCTCAGCTTGTTTCCATGTATGTGTTCACTTTGTACCCAGAAGGACTTGGACTACAGATAGAGGGGGGTTTTGTGGCACTGTAGCCATGACCTTGTTGATGTAAGACAACCACCTGCTTATTATTTGCTTCTACTTCAGCTTCTTTCCTTCATCTAACTGGAAAATCATGGTGTTTGACTAAACCTGTAAAAGCAGGCAGAAAGTGCCTGTTTTTTTTTTTCATACTAGGGATATTTTACAGATTTCGCTGATGTCAAGGTTCATCCAAAATACTGCAGCACATTGTCCTAAAACTTTAAATTAAAAGTGTTTGTATGGATTGGGAAATATTTTCTTTGATCCAAACGTTCTATCTTCGAATCAGCTCCGCCTTACTCAGAGTTGATCTTTAGTCTTTCAGAGTCCTTCAACATGTTGTCAGCGGCCGTGCTTCTGAAGGCCAAACTGACAAATCATGTTCCATAGAGCATATACTGAAAAGATATGCAGAGAATGAAGGTGGTTCAGAAACATTTAGAATCTGATTTTTCAGATATATTAGCAGCTGTAGTGATTTCTGTCTTCATGTTCGCACCCATGCTTTGTAAGCTATGTGGGATTCAATCAGTTCAAACTCTCTTTGATCATCCTCTATTAACAAGAAATACATGCGCGATACTGAGAAAATTTCAGTCAAGTCAGTGTCCTTTTGTAAGAGAGCCCTTTTTTATATGTTTGAGTGTGGAAGGAGAAAGCCACCTCTAAATCTCTCCATTTTCTCTGCTCTTTGTTGAAATATTGCTCTTATTTGAAGTACAATGACAGCTACTGTAAAAACCTGGAACCTAAATGTAGCATCATAAGAAGCTTGTCTTGTTAGCTGTTGTTGTTCAAGTGCAGTCAGAGTAGTGAAAGCATTGATGAAATTTACTGACTTCAATTCCTTTTTTTGTTTTAGCTTTTTAAGTAAAATGATGTACATTCTTTTATACTTTCATTAAGTCAGAACCAGTAAAAATGTCTGAAAGCATAGGATTCATTAACACATGAGTAAAATACCATTGGAAAAGCGACAGGTTAACACAAGTTTTGAGTGAATTTTAACTATAACTATAGTTATAAAAATTGAAAGAAAATCTTGTTTTCTAAGCCAATCTCTTCAGAATCAATCAACAGATTTGTAAAGTGCCTGTCAGGTTTCATATTAGTCAGCTAACACCAAAACTGGACTCCATTCACACTCATAAAAACCCCAGCAGGCCTTTTTTAATGGGAAAGAATGTTTTTATGCACATATGTGTGATCAGGCTGTACTAAACCTTTCACGAAGTACTGTACCATGAGCAGAGGAAGATTAATGGTTTACAGACATCGTAGGATAAAGAGTATACACTATATATTGACTTTTTCTATATAAAGGGTTGTTAAATTCCTAGGAAGTAAATTATTTTTGTTTATTCTGTGAAGATTTTTCTTTTGTTTTTTTTCTCTTCTCCATTTAGTTAACATGGTGCTAATTTGTGAAAAGTTTGCAATGGGCTCAACGCCTTTAAGTAGGCATTAATCCTTAATGTCCTTTTTACATTCTATAGAGAAGAGCTGTTTAAATAATGTCCATCTCCGCACAAGATGAATCAGCAGTTTAAATGAGGGCATTTCTGTAACCTTGCTAATCCGGCTAAAAACACAAAGTCCAAGTCATCACCAGAATGTCATTAAGACTCCTGCAAATGTCCTGAAAACACAGCCAATATTGCAGAGTGGAGATTCAACATTTGTTGTGTTTTGATCTTTATTACACCACCCAGAAAGACATTTCTGGTGCACTTACTGCTTATGCACATCATGTAATCAAGAGTATTTAATGAAAAGGAGCAGAAACAGATTATTCTGGTGCTACTGATGAAGATAAGAGAGAATACTTTTTAAAGAAAAGCTTTTTTCATACAAATGTATTCAGAAGAAAATCCCTTGTTATTCTGTCAGACAGCAGCTCAGATGGAGGCCTATGTCAATGACCACAGCTGCTCTGAAGTCTCATGTTGCATGCTTTCAAAATCATCAACTTTTAGTTTTAGCGTACTAGCGCAGTAAAAAAAACAATCGTAAGTGTCAAGTAAGACAGTAAAAAACATAGATCTTTAAATCAAGAGCTTAGTAATGACATACTACATATTTCTACTTCTAGCTCCTTTGATTATTTCACAAGTAATTGCACAGATCACAGTATATACTACATAACCAACATAATGTTATCTACACTCTGAAAACACATAACACACATTGAACATCTTTGCATATGGTCAAAAGAGTGTAACACATGAAAAGCTGGCAGAGTTGGCTCACATCCTGTCCAATAAATTATGACTGTCTCCCCGCAGTCATTTCAAACATCCACTGTGTTTGAAACAAACCCTGTTCTGCAAAAACTACAGAATCTGTCTTTAAAAGGCTAAGCTCTTAGACTGGCTCTGAAGGTCTTTTCAGGAAGGTAACACCAGACAAAACTAGAGTTTTGTTGTCAAGATTTTGAAATCTGACACCTACAAAATAAAAGCACAAGCCTTAAACAAATCCACCTTTCACAAAAAAAAAGAATATATATATATATATATATATATATATATATATAGCCAAGAAATGTTGGACTCTCACAAAATATCTGGAAAGTAGTACTAAAAAAGTAAGCAAAAATTATAATAGAATTAGAAAATTTAGCTAAGATATATTTCATGGTTTAAAAACAGAGTTTTAAAAGAATGCTGTAGCTGCATAAGTCAGTCACATGAACTAGACAGTATTTCTTGATCTGGAAACAGTTGAGCAGATTCTGTACTACCTCTAAAACTTTGAAACCATTACTACACTCTGAGACATGTTGTAAGAGACAAATGTCAAGGTTTTACAACCGTGCATGACTCTTTTCAACATTCTTGCTACCAGGGCCTTAGTCCTATTCTTTTGAGTTTTGCTGTCAGTGAGAAGGTAACCTTGTGCCTTTCCTCTACAAAGATGTCTAATTAGAACTTTTTCTTTTCTGTGTCCAATTGAGTGAATACTTGATGATGCTAAATTCCAGGTAAAATACGTCTGGAGTTCAAATAAAATGTCTTAATAGAGTAGGTTAGTGGGTGTATGTTGACACTGTCGTCCTCTACATTTATTTTGATGGACAATATGTGTCTCAAGCCAGCAGGGCATCTCAGTTTCAACCTTTCAGTACAGAACAGTATGACTTGGAAATTTGTTTTGCTGCATCTTTTTGTATGACCATACCTCTAAATCGCTGATTTGCATCAAGGTTACATTTTGTCAGAAGTTTTTGGCTTCTTGTCTTTTGCATTTTTTCCTGAAGTAGCCTGAAGTTGAACATAGGCCTGTATTTGAGATGACATGATGAGTCAGAACATGCTCAGGTTGTGGATAAAACATCACTGTTGTTTGGTTTCTGTCACAATGAGAGGATGAAAAATGGGAACACCACATTGTAAAAACTAAACTTTTTTATTCCTTTAAAATTACTAAAAAGTAACTATTTGATAATGACTTTTGGTAGAGCAAACATTGTATCTGAAGTGTGAAAGTTTGACATACTGTACATCAAACAACTCCTTTTGGTATTTTTACACCTGGACCTATTTTCATCTATTTAATGTAACAATCTGAAACGCTCAAGTCAGATAACACTCGGATTTCCCTCTGACATCGATGTCGTCAGTCAGTTACATCTCTTGTCTTTCCAGCCTTTCCACCTGCCTGTCAGGTGTTATATTTGCTCCTCCCCTCAGGTTATGGAGAGTTCTAGAAATTGCTGCCAATGACAGACAGTTTTATGTGTCACACAGCATCACCAGCCAATGGCTGATGAGTTCATACAGATTGCATGGCACAAATCATGGGTCTCATCACTCCACTATGTGTGTAACTCCAGCCTTTCAACCATGTCTCCTCTCCATTTCTTTTATGACAGCACCCTGGCTGTGTGTACATGAACCATTATCTGTTCATTATATTAGCTAAAATATAACCTAGAGAAAGCCTGTATATCTGCTTTGTATAACCAACTCTTGTCATTTTGTATAACGCTTGACTCTTGAATAAAAGGATAATGCAATGAAAGAAATATTAAAAAAGTACACAGTTAAGACATATGACCTCTTGTAATGCAACTTGAAAAGACAGGAAAGGTTTGTACTCTGTCCTTTTATTTCTTTTAGGAAAGCTGAATCTCAACAGCCGATCTGGACCAGATTGCTGTAGAAGTATGTAGCTCTCTCCTGACTTAGACACACTTGAGCATTTCTTCTGTACATAGGTGCATTTGAAGGTAATGAAAAACAAAATAGGCAGCAAACTTTATATGAGTTAATGGAGATAATTTGATCCATGTGGGTTTTTAAAATGTTGGGAGATGTTTTTTGTTTTTGTTTTTCCAACCGATGTAGCTAGCTGTAAAATGAGATATAACTGCCTCCTGTTTGTCATAGAATTCACAAATAAATGTTTGTTGAAATCAAGCCAGTTGTTTTATCGTCATTTTTAAAACCTTTTTTAATTTGTATATGAAGTTCCAAAAGTAAATAATATTTATTTCCAGCAAAGCTAGCCTGGCAGATTATCAGGAAAGACATTCGCAAGAAGGTGAGGAAATGAAGTCCTGGGCAATCTATGTTTTCTTTTTAAAGGTACAATTTATTTAATAGATAATACCCAGAAGAAGCAAAAATTGTAATTTTTATCATGTACTTTCACTTGGCTAAAACTTTGATTTTTCTCTCAAGTGCAAAACTTGCTAATTTTTTTATTCAAATCCATATCGGTTAGCATGAAAGTATAGCCACATGTTAAAAAAAAAACGTAGAAATAAACACTACTTCATCAGCATATTATCATTGCCACTGCCAATGACATTAGCACTGACCTCAAAACTCCATAGTTTCAATATGAAAAGAGGTACATAGTTAATACCATAGCTGTGGCATTCCTGTCTTGTTCTTTTTACATCATGGATGAAGTGACTCCTGATGATAGCATGAGCTGGCAGCAATAAATCCGCTGCACTGAAAATATAACTCATAAGATTTACTTAAAAATATATTGTAAGTATTTGCACAAAAATGATTTTAGTAAAATTTCATGCTGCAATATTAAGTAACACTCACTTGCCAGTATCAAGTAAATTTTACTTTCCATAAAACATAACAGTTGTGAAGATATTAAGTAACATTTAGCCAATTACATCCAAGTTTTAAGTTACATTTATTTAGGACTTTCTGGCCTAGCAATTAATGCCCAGACCTAACACAGTCACATGTTGTTAACACTGCATTTGGAACCATGCTTATTATCTGAGATACAAAAAGTCTGCAATAACTAAAAGGTGCCGTTTTATCACACAGCTCATCTGCATGCTCATCGTCCTCATCGGGGTCTTGACCTGACTGCAGTTTGTCATCATAACCGACTTGAGTGGGTAGATGCTCACATTTGATGGCATCTGGCACTTTGGAGAGATGTTGTCTTTACGGATGAATCTCGGTTTTCACTGTAGAGGGCAGATGGCAGACAGCGTGTTTGGAATTGAGCGGGTAAGCGGTTTGCTGATGTCAATGTTGTGAATCAAGGGGCCCAAGGTGGCGGTGAGGTTATGGTATGGTCAGTTATGTTATGGACAATGAACACAGTTGCAGTTTATTGATGGCATTTTGAATATGCAGAGATATTGTGATGAGATCCTGGGGCCCATTGTTGTGCCGTTCATTCGTGACCATCACCTTGTGTTGCAGCATGATAATGCATAGCCCTGTATGAAATCCTTGAAGCTGAAAACATCCCAGTTTTTGCATGGCCAGCATACTCATTGGACATGTCACCCATTAAGCATGTTTGGGATGCTCTGGATCAGCGTATAAGACAGCATGTTCCAGTTCCTGCCAATATCCAGCAACTTCGCACAGCCATTGAAAAGTGGTGGACCAACACTACACAGGCCACCATCAGCAACCTGATCAACTCTATGCAAAGGAGATGCGTTGAACTGCGGGAGGCAAATGGTAGTCACACCAGATACTGACAGGTTTTCTAACCCCCCCACCCCCCCGGATGCCCCCAATACGGTAAAACTGCACCCTTTAAGAGTGGCCTTTTATTGTGGCCAGTTTAAGGCACTGCTGTGCAATAACCATGCTGTCTAATCAGCATCTTGATATGCCACACCTGTGAAGTGGATGGATCATCTCGGCAAAGGAGAAGTGTTCACTAACAAAGATTTAGACAAATTTGTCAACAATATTTGAGAGAAATAGGTCTTTTGTGGACATAGAAAAAGTCTTACATCTTTAAGTTCAGCTCATGAAAAATGGGAGCAAAATCAAAAGTATTGTGTTTATATTTTTGTTCAGTGTATGATAGACATTGATTTCTTGCTTACTGTATAGCAGCCTGTACAAACTTGGCTTTTTTCTATTAAAGGTACGTTCATTTGATCCTTTAATTTGTCATGAAAGCTCTTATTGACAGTTATCTAAGGTTTTGTTCTGTGCACCGATGAGATAAATTTAAGATATTGAAAAGATGATTATGAGTAGGGAAAGAAAAGATAAAAACAAATTTAAAACAACGCTAAAGAAAAATTATGCCTGCTTTGCTCTGGATGAAAAAATAGAGTTTAAAATCACAGGTCGTTTTGGTTGTTTGAAGAACAAAAGCTCACAAAGTCATTTTAACCTGCAAGAAAATCTGACAGAATAATATAATAATTCTTTGTCATTTTATTTGACTTTGATATATTCTTGAATAATTGTGGGTCTATAAAAATGAGACATTGGATTGGGTTTAATTTGTTAAACCATAAAAAATGGCAGGATACGTGGAAAATAAAATCGCAGTATGATACAGTTTTTTTACCTGTAAATTTTCAACATAGCACATTGGGATGTTGTTAATCCCAGCTCCCAGGTTGAAGTGTCCTTGGGCAAGACAATGAACACTAAATTTAGTCATTGGTATATGATTGTCTATAAATAAGATTAGTTGATATTAGTGGTCAATTAATCCAGTAACCCCCTTCATAGGTATGTGCAGCTATTTTGGTACCCTAAGTAAGAATTTGGGCACTTTAAGTGATCAGAGGGACAAGAAAAAAGCTGTACAGGTGCAGTCCATTTACCATACCTCTGAATTTTCAACTCAGGAGGGTACACAGCAAGAGAAAGTAACACCAATTTAAATCAGTACAACCTCAAATTTCTGTCATGCTGGCCTCACTGACTCATGCTCTGTTTGCAATGTTCCTTTCCACACATCAAGTGACTTCTGTGCCATCCTCCCTCAACATGCTCCACTTAAAAAAAGCTAAATACTCTGGAGAAAGTTGCTGGCAGTCCTGCAGGACAGACAAGACGTAACCTCACCATAGCAACTCCTGACAAACAAAGGAACCACTTCCTGTTTTGACTGAGTCAGCACTTCAGGCTAGGTACTGCTGGGTAGTCTGACCATTTTAGTGAGTAGCTAAACCAAACTAGGTTTGAGTCTGTAACTCAAACCTAGTTTGGCTTTAGGACCAAGTTTTTTGTTTTTTAAAAGATAATGTCTTCATTTAGTTTCCTGAAAAACCACAGATTTAAGTCAAATGTCCTCTCATCGAGCAACAGGCACATTTTTCTGTGTGATTACATGTACTTGTCCCATAACTAAAAGTTTTAGTAAATTCCGCTCTTTAGCAAGAAATTTAACTGAGCTCAAATCCCTCTGCTGGAGTCAAATTAAGCCTTACATTTTAACTGCATAGCTGTGTAGAGGAACTAAGGTTGGGATTATAAGAATTAGAATTTTACAGCATATTATGAAAACATGACTCCTGCTTCCAGGAACTTTCATTTTTATCTTTTTCTGTCCTACAAATTTGGCAAAACTTTCACATTTAAATCCAACTAGATGCTAAGTGAAACTAAGAAGGCCCTGAGACTAAAGATATGTGATCTGTGAGTGTGTGTGTGTGTGTGTGTGCACAATCCAAGCTTAATCAGTATTCACAGAAAGCTTAAAGAGGTCTTATATAAGAGCTGACACCTAAGACCCAGCTTTTCTTTTCTATCAGCCCATCTCTGAGGATCATTGAGTGCTGGATAAGAGGAGAGATGCAGGGCTAAAGATGAGAAGGTTATCTGTCATTCGACCATTTTATCTTTAATTTTGGAAAAGTTTGTGTTAACAGAGGCCTACCTGGCTTAACTATTCTTCCTGTAGATATTGTCTGTTCAACCAAAGCCTGGTATGGCCTGATCACCAACACCAGAATCCAAATGCCACAGTATTTACAATCATAATGCTGTTTTGGGGTTTACTCTCCTGTGACTGGGATATGTGACCATACACTGCCATAAAGCAGTTGTTGTTGCTGTAGTTAGGCTGGGTGTGCAGGTGTAATCATGCAATGAAGATTTGGCCCTAGCTGGACTTTTGTGAATTTGCAGTTAGATGGACCCAGGATGCTCAGCTACATTAAGCTGCTAAGATCAGCTTTGATCCATTAGTGGAGATCAGGATTGTAGTGGTCCAGGAAAATTAATCCAAATTGTTTTGTTGATAGGCATTGACATATTGTGCCTGTGATGCATTTTGGAGTGAAAGCATGCACAGAATCGGTCTGGTGGTGGAGCTGTAGGACTGACATCACACCTTAAGCACCAAGTACCACATACTTTTTAGTTATCAGAGAAAAGTAACTGAACACTCTTTACAAGCACACATGTCTTTTGTAAAGTGACATGCAAAGAGAGAAAAATGTAAAAGAGACAATCAGTCCCATTAAGGCCCTCTTCCCACACAGCTGACTATCAGCAATTGATACAGTGAGACTAAAACTTCGATGCCCATCCTGCTGCACCTAGATCTATTTGATTGGGCTGATCGTGAGACAGTTTTCTGTAATTTCTTTTCATGGGGTTGTTCTTGATATTTATTTACACTACATATAATAATCGCATACGATAACTTCTAGGATTAAAATCATCAAATTGATATGTAATGTTTTTGGCCTCACACAAACAGGAAGAGAGAGGGGAGGGAACGAAGAGATTCACTCTCCTCACCCTTCAGATTATGAACTGATATGATAAGGTACGTACACTCTCACAGCTGTAAAGCTGAATTCACTTTTTATTGTGTATATGAGTAAGCCAAAAACAAGGACATATACACACACACACACACACACACACACACACACACACACACACACACACACACACACACACACAAATGTATATATAAACAACAGGAACACAGGTACAAAAGCAGTCAATGAGGCTCCAGCAATTACTTAAAAAAATCCAACACGAGGAACTTAGACTTCTGAATTGAGTCCAGATGAAAATAACACACATGCATGAACAGTGTACACAAACACCAGCAGAGTTTGACATGCTAGTGAATCTTCGATTGCCAATAATCGATCTCGGAAGAAACTGGAGAACGTCCTAAGAGGACCATCACTGAGTGTTGTGTTTCATCACATAACGCAGGTTACCAGACAGCAGAGGTAAACATGGAGCTTTTAAACTGTAAGGAAACTTAGAACAATATCAACAGCAAGCATTTAATCCCTGTCCAGTCTAAACTTGATATCCTTGCTCCAATTTCTGCTCGAGAAAAAAAAAAGGTTGAAAATAAAAATCACTCATACACAATAGCTCTTGTTGTCAGGTGTAAATCTGGGCTTGAATGGGCTGGTTCAACAATGGCTGTACAAAATGATAAAAAAAAAGTTTAAGGTGAAAACATTCACCTACAGAAGGAAAGATTAACATGAGATCAGTTTGGATGTTTCTGTGCCACAACACCACCAATCATTACCTTTTTCAAACAGGCTCTCCAAAAGTCAGAATCTAGGAATCAACGACTGTCATGCCAATTTGCTGTTTTAATAAATTCAAGAAATAGTGTTCATCTGATACATTTAAACCATAAAACAGGACTATGGTAACTGAATAGATAAACTGAAGGGCCATGTGCTGTGGATGGACTGAAGGTTTCTCTCTGAGATGATAGAGCCCTCTTCTGGAAAAACTATGACATTGCAGAAGACAGAGAAGCCATACAACATGCCATGATGCCAATGATACTGAAATCCACCCAGACATGGCAATGTAAATTGAGTATTGTATTAGGATAATTTTATTCTACCAGCTATATCATACCCTCATCCTTTAACCCACAAAGAATTGCTGATAATCTGCTGTGAATGGGTACTTTAGTGAGTATAGTTAAAAATGATAGTGGAACAATGAAAGGTCAATTCTGCTGCATTTCAGATCATCAATTCTGCTTTCAAAACACCTTGGAATTCATTGTACTAAGTTACCTTAGCACTAAGCAGGCCTTTACCAGGCCCTGGACTATGTTCTACATGGGAAAAAAAAGTCAAGAATCCATGATCTTCCACCTTGGCTTGGTGCTTTGTATGTTGTACATTTTTATCATAACTCGTCCATTGGCAGGTTTTCTGTCTATTAGCATAGCTCCCTCACCTGAGGCCTCTGTGGGTTGAATGCACTTCTATCAAACCTCATCTGAGTCACATAACTCAACTCAACTCAACTCAAACTTTATTTATAGAGCACTTTAAAAACAACCGAAGCTGACCAAAGTGCTGTACAGGTCATTAAGACACAGCAAAATACATAAAACAGACAATAAACAATATGATCAAAACACAGAATACAGGATTAAAATACAGCAAAGTAAAATTGAGGTACAAATACACCATAAATAAAAACAAATATAAAATACACAGGTAGATAAAAACAAATATAAAATACCAATCAAGAGCTAGGTAAAAGCTAGGGAGAAAAATTGTGTTTTTAAAGAGGATTTAAAAACCTCTATCGACTCAGCTGAACTGATGTGCTGAGGCAGGCTGTTCCAGAGCTTTGGAGCAGCCGCCCCAAAGGCTCGGTCACCTTTACTCTTTAGGCGAGTCTTCGGGACGACCAATAGCCACTGATTGGCAGATCTCAGTGCTCTAGCGGGGGCATGAATGAGTAAGAGCTCGGACAAATACCCGGGGGCCAGTCCATTAAGAGCTTTAAAAACAAACAATAAAATCTTAAAATTTATTCTAAAAGAGACTGAGAGCCAGTGGAGAGAAGCGAGCACAGGGGTTATATGTACTCTTTTACGTTTCCCAGTAAGGAGGCAGGCAGCTGCATTTTGCACCAGCTGAAGTCGATGGAGCAGATAAGAAACAAGTGAATCTCAAAAAGGTCCATATATGGATCATAACTCTCTGCCTGTCTCTCCAAGATATTACTGAGCCCCAAAAGATCAATGATATGAAAGTTATATATTAGGCCTGTCGCGATAATCAATAAATCGCCTTATCGCTCGGTAAATAAAAACGAGGTCGGTCATTTTGCCAGCCTCGATAATTAACGTGCGTTTGTTTTCCTCCCCTCTCGCTACCAAACACGCTGGATGAGAAAAGAGGTCTCACTCTGCGCATTGTTCTCGGCACCCGGGGGCGTTGGCTCTATAGCGGAATGAACGGAGTTAGTGAACCCTCCTGTCAGTCATTCAGTATCTTTGTCACGGGGGGCGCGCACAGGCACACGTAGGCGCGCACAGGCACACAGACAGACTTTTGGATACAGTGCTGCAAGTGAGTGAAAAGCAAGCAAACAGAATGAACACGACAGCTTTGGTGTCTAAACCGAACGCAACAGCCCAAGTGTAGGAATATTTCGGCTTTAAACCAAATGAAAGAGGTGAGCCCACAAATACAGACGAGCCGATATGTCGTATTTGTTCCAAAGTTGTGGTGACAAAGAAAGGGAATACGACGAACATGCATGCGCACCTCAGGCACAATCATCCCCTCCATTTTTCCCAACTGAGCAAAAAAAGTTCCGCCAGAGGTGCTGCGGAGCCATCGTCCCGACAGGTACTGTTTGGTAAGCAAAGCAAATATAAACAAAACAGTGCAAAATGGTGACAGACAGTGGAAATTAAAGTTTATCACTTTTGACATGGTGTACTCGCATTATTATGCCATATATTATCATTTTCTATAATTTAAAAAACGGTGTCAATAATATCGTTTATCGGCAATAATTTGTAGCACAATTATCGTCCAGCAAACTTTGTTATCGTGACAGGCCTATTATATATCAAACCTAGAGGTTATTAATGAAAATAAAAATAAGGTATTCACTGACTACTCCTCCTACTGGCTGCCTCTTGTATTAGTCATAAACCCTACCTATACAGATGAAAAAAGAAAATTTAAAATACTCCTTAAATGAATTTTTCAAACATGGTCACTTTCATTCTTACCATTCAGATTCCCTTTCTGGGAGGTTTAGATTTGATTAATTACTTGATATTTATCAAATGATTGATAAGAAATAATAATAATAAACAATGCTTTATTTGTATAGAACTATTCTGTACGTGTAGTAAAGTGCTTCACAATAGACAATAAAAACAAACAGGCAATAAAAGTAAAAGCAAATACGCTAAAAGCAAGCAGGCAATAAAGCAAACAAACAATAAACAGACAGTCAAATGAAATCAAAGTTAAAAACCAAATCAGATCATATCAAATGTCAAAAAGTGGACAAATGCAGCTCCTGCAGTGTTCTGCATCCCAGCAGCATAGAGGAGGGACAGTGGAAGAAAACATCACCAAAATAGCAGTTAAAGTGTTATTTGACTTTACAAAGCCTTTGGTGCCTGCTACAAAAAAACACAACTATATCAACACAACAATCTGTGAATTGTGACCCGAGGGATCTTGACTGTCTCATCATTAAGTCTTGTTTCGGTCTGCAGAAAGGTGGAGTTCTAAAGCTCGAACAGCCAGGTCATGACCTTGGCTCTGCTGGAACAAAATTTTTTAAGGAGTTTTTTTAAGGAAACTGGCTCATCTAAATAAAAATCAGCCAGTAACCTGATTTTACATGCTTTATTCCTATATACATTAACTTAAATGTTCTTCACATACACAGTACAGAACTGTCTGTAATCTTTTGTATTTTGCAAACTTTTTACCCGTGGCTTAAGTCTATTAATCAACCTTTGCCAATTTTAAATATTTACAAAAATGGAATCAGATTTAAGGTTTCTTTTCTGAGTTTTAGTCATGTTAGCACTGCTCTCTGGTAAGGGCAAGAAGTGTCTATGAATGAACATATGTTAAAGCCTTAAAAGTGTCAAAGGTATATAGTTAATGCTTGTAACAAGGAGAGAAAAAACAAAAAACAAACAGGCACATGCACACCATAGTCATTACTCCTCACGCTCTCAGCAAAGTTTACCTACAAAGAAAAACTGTCCAAAATTCAACAAAAAAGTTTTGTAAATATACATTACACTGTATGTTGTTTAAAGAGTACTCTGGTCCCGTATATCTTTCAACAACCACAGACTCCACCTTTCTTTACAAGACACCATACAACTGTGTTTACCACTGCTGCAAGGTATGATCCTCAGCCAGTCAGCTTTACATATGCTGTTCTCATGCAAATGAACAGATTCCTCATCTATATAGCATACTGAGCTCACCAAATAACATTGTTAGAAACACCAATCATATCTGTGTACTCATTGGATTTCTTTTCTTGAACAGTGGACTGTAGATTAGGCAAATCAAAGTATAACTTATAAAATAGTTTCAGAATTTGGCGTTGGTAACATCTAAACCTTTACCGTGTCACACTGATATTCCTGTTTTCACTAAGACAATAGAAATGAAATTAAATGAAATGATTTTTTGCATCAGTTTAACTAGATGATGTAGACAATACAGAAACCATGATTTCAACAGATTCTTGACTAAATCATTGAATTAAATACTAATAGGACAAGTTTTTGTCCTATTGACAAATTGAAAAAACAATTGTTAGATTAATCGATCGGAAAATAATCGTTAGGTGCACCCCTAGTTGTAACATCCTCAAAATTCTGTGAATATTCAATCCGGGGTTAGACTTACATACGAATATTATAATATTCAGTTGCATGAGCCAAGTTCATTTTATATGCCAACATCAATGAAAGAAAGAGCCGGGCAATGGAGCGCGATGCGTCATTACCACAGATGGTTCCAATATTAATGCCGTTAATGGAATTTGTTTATGTTGTGATCTGTGCGCACAACCCACCTTTGCCATGCAACTTGATGTGGGTGTCTGTACTTGTGGAAAACGCTGTTTGTCTTACCAGTGGGTCCAACCTTACACACATCAAATCCATCTGTGCTTATTTGAGAGAGTGCGGAGGACGCCCTTCGCAGCACTAACAGTGACACTTGTTGAGGGGCTGCCTTCTGTCGCCATCGTGCGGCATTGCTGTCTTCAGCCATCTCTTGGTCTCTTTGACTTCATAAAATTGCAATATGCCTCGCCGGTGGCGCATTTAAAGGTGAGAGGAGCTGATATGATTGGTGAAAACAGGACTCGGCTGTGTTAAACCCACTCCACACCTTCTCCCCTTCCTCTCTACTACTTGCACTGCCGGGAGGGGCTGAATTAGGGTGGGGGCATTCTTACACCGGGCTGCGCCGCTCACCAAAATACTAAAGTGTGCTTGGGCACGCCTCATCGGCGCGGCGTACCTGACTTCTGCTGCACCTGCGCCACGCCGCCAATGAGGCATGAAAATAGAGCCCCAAGACCCAGGTACAGATTAGACCAATACTGGGTTACCCTCCCATGCATTTAGCTGATCAGCAAAAACCAGTCAGTAAACACTGTGTTGTGAAGCTCAGTTTACAGTGGCAAACTTTTCAAATGTTTACTATCTCTCTCAACCTACAAGCCAGCTGTTCTGCACATCACATGCACCTCTGGGTCATTTGTCAAACATTGAGTTGATTGTCTTCAGGCCTCAGTGTTGTGCAAAGGCTTTTATTTAAGTTACTTTTTGCTCCTTGTTTATTTTGCTTTTGTTTGGGTTGGGTCACACTTGATGTTCTCTATCAGTATGGGGTCAGAACTCATAACTAGAACTGAGAATCGCTGGAAGAAATGAAGTCAATTGACCACTATTTACCAACCTTCAAAAGGCATTTAATGCCTTTAACCAAGACATAACAATCAATAAGCTGGAGCAGTTTGGGATCAGGGGATGGCATTGGAATGGGTAAGGAGCTACTTAAAGCTGGGGTAGGCAGGATCTTAGGAAGTGCCAGTTTTCGGGAGTTCTTGAATGTAAACATTACCCCTCCCAACCAGTTTCCCCCTCAGCTCCTCCTCTCCCCTCCCTTTCTGCTCCCGAAAGTCCCGCCCACAAACAGACGCTCTTGCTCAGACGCCCCAAAAAATAAAAGAAACTTTAATTTAAAATAACCTGTTTATCTAATGTTCTCACATCCTTAAAATTCAATGAATATTCAATCCGGAGTTAGACCCACGTATGAATATTATAATATTCAGTTGCATGAGCCAAATTCATTATATATGCCAACATCAATGAGAGAAATAGCCAGGCAACGGAGTGCGATGCGTCCTTTACGCACAGGTGGTTCCAATATTAATGCCGTTAATGGAATTTGATTATGTAGTGATCTGTGCGCACAACCCACTTTCGTCACATGGGGCTTAAATATATGCAGCTTGATGTGTCTTTATTTAGGGAAAAGGATGTTTGTTGTACCAGTGGGTCTAGCCTTACACACACCAAATCCATCTGTGCTTATTTGAGAGTGTGGAAAACGCCCTCCACAGTGCTAACAGTGACACTTGTTGAGGGGCTGCCTTCTGTCGCCATCATGCGCTGCACAGCTGTGCATTTTGGGTGAGAGGCCGGACTCGCTTGAAAATAAAAGAAATCCAAAAACAGCAGACAGTCAGCTCACACAATCAAAAACATTAGAAATAAGAAAGCTGCCAAAACTACATCTGAGTATCAAGGCCACAAACATTTATTTTTTATTTTTTTATTTTTTTTAAGACTTAGAGATTAAAGTTGTAAACTTGGGAGAATAAAGTTATCAAGTAAATAAAGACATAAAGACTGGTTTGGTAGAGGAGGAAATGTCTGGAGCTGGTCATCTGCAGGGTTCTCGGTGGACGTATTATTTAGAGGTTTTGTGGTTTCTGAAAAAACAATCCAACTGATGACCAACATTTGTGATCCAGAGGGAGCCGAGCTCCGTCAAGCACCACATCTCTGACACCGGCGGTAACCTACACCTGCAGAGACACCAACACCTTATCACGGCAGATGGATTCATATCATAAACTAAAGCTCAATGTCATTCACGGCTATTTATGGCTGCATTGACGGATTTATCCGCATCATATCCATTTCTGCCAGTGGCGGCTGCTGGTCTTTCAAGGAGGGGAAGCTCATTTTTCTGGCCTACATCAAAATTGTATTTGTTTATTAGTATGTAACAGAACAGAGTCGCCAAACACAACGGCAGTCGTTTTTAACAAAGATAAAAGTCGCTGAGGATCGGTAAAGTCTCCGGAGCAGTTAAGAACAACGGAATGAATGACTTGGAAAATGCTCTGGTAGATGTTTTATTCTTCAAGATCGCTGATTCGCTTGTTTAGCTGTCAATCAAAAAAGGATTTCAACTCAGACAGCTCATCCAATCATGGATGCAGAAGCTCAGCGTCCACAAGAAAGTTGGGACCGCCCTCTCGTCATAGAACTCCAGAGACGCTGAGCGTCCGATGGGCGGGACAAAGCCCAGCATTTATCCAATGAGCGTCTAGTTTCGCTGCTGGAACAACCCACTTTTGAGCTTCCACATTGAAGTCAGCAGACGCTGAGCGTCCGGCTGTGTGAAGCGCTGAGGCACTGCGAGGATGAATGAGAACGAAGTTGTGTCGATTACCTGTGATTATCAGCTGTTAACAAAAGGATATATGACAGAAGTGAAAGACCAGCAGTTTACACAACCGCA